TGCTGAAGAGTTAGATCCCAAACAACATCACAACACTTCTGCAAGGTTATGTTTCTTTTATTCGTATTTGGATTTCACTGCTTCATCCACTAGGACTGATTTGAAAAGTAATCTTTCGTTTTAATGACTACAACAGTTAGTGTTGGTCTCTCTTCTCACACAGTCGAACCACCATTTAATAACAAACAGAACTAAAAGAGCCTAAGACACAGCTGACATCATTAAAAAATATTAACATATCAAACAGTGCTGAAGCATGGAGAAGGAAAAGGAATCAATAACGTATTTCTTGGAAAGATGCATCCCCCTTAAAAATTATCAAAATAAAAAGTGTGTTCTGTGGGGAAGAGCAGGGAGTGTGCACATGCACACACTGCTACTTCCACATCCATATCCCCACCCAAACATATACACAAACATACATATGTGCACATACACATAGACGCACGCATTAGACTGGACAAGTAATTTATTTTTTTCCCTGGGAGAATATTATTATAACTCTTCATTATATTATATCTGTCTTTAAAAGAGGAAAAATTATTAAAGCAGAAAAGAAACAACTACTTTAATAGCTCCAACTTATTTGGCTAAACTTTGAAAAACATTGCCTCTCTATTTATCATGAAATACCTGAAAAATCAAGTTTGATCATTTTAGATTTAAATGTATACCGCTACCAGGTTCTTGTATTGATTTGGTTTGCTTTGCCCTTGGAACAGTCTCCATAATTATTAAAAAAGTCTTTCATTTCTTCCAATACATAGGGAAAAATGTCTGAACACTGACCACTTGTCTATACTGGGTCCCCCAGCATTATCCCCTTTCTAAAGCACTTAAAGCATGTTATATAATAGCAAACATACTCCTGTTTTATACATAGTGCATCTGTTTTGCAGTGCTTGGAGGTACCTCCTGCTCTCTGCTTCTGCTCTTCTGAAGGGATAATGGAAAACCAACCCTTGGTGGTCTCTGTTTAGAGGGCGTAGGTGAGAGCTATCCTTTCTGGAGGCACAGGGAGAGGTGAGAAAGCTGCTTTTTGTAACAACATTGCCCTTGGAGAAGCAAAGAGAAGGTTAAAAGGTAGAAGGACAGCTCTGAGACCTCACTCCTGGGAAATGTGAGAAACCTGAAGAACACACAGAAAAGGTAAAAAGCTAAAAGAAGGAATGGCTTTTTGTGAGAGGGCTCCAGAATGTGTAATTTATTCAACCCCAAGTACAAAGGTGCTAGAAGACCCTTTTAGTTTATCATTAATAGAGACTCAGTAATAGTGGCTCCCTGACTACAAACAGTACTGTTCTCTGTGTCCTTTCCACAGAGCCCCACGAACTTTCTTGCATATGATCACTGGGACAATGTTTACCCCTTAGGTTTTTCTGCATGTCTTCAGTAATTGTCTGTAGGTCTCCATAGAGCTACATGTTAACTGTTTTCCTCCTGTCTCCCTGCCTTGTTCTTAATGAATCCATTGGCTGGGAGAATTAAATACCTTGTGTGGTATAAGTTTTGCTCCTTAGAGCTCGAGTTCTTGGAGAAAACTCAAGTTTTTGTAAGTACTTGACTTCTCTCAAATCTGATGGGAACCACCAGTTTCACTGCTGTGTATCAGTAAAAAAATCCCAACCTTTGATAGACCCTGGGACTCCATCTTTCATAAAGCGTAAGGGAGGTTATGTTAAGATTTGTTCCATGTTACATTTGTCCCTACAGTGACACGAGTCTATGTTCACACGAAGTTGAAGTTCATTACAAAATCTCTTGTTACAGAGACAATCAATGAAAGCTACTAAGTCTTTAATCACTGAAGACAATTTTGGTATCACAGGAACCTTTCACATTCTGAAGTAAAGCTGACTGTGGTCTCAGTCAGCTGAAGTGATCCCTCTTATAGTGCCTTGAAGCTTAACACTAACAGCATCTCTTGAGTACCAGACTAAAAAAAAAAAATTTTAGGGAAGAAAAACAAGCCTTGATTGAAAGACTAGAAAGATGATTAAAAGAAAAAAAAAACCAACAAACACAAACAACAAGCCCACCCCCAATCCCAGAGCCATATGAAATGCTGGAATGATTAGGAACATAAATAATTAAGATCAGGTAGAAAGTTTTTCTCAGTAGGTGAAATGTGTGTCTCTGCATACAACCACGTTTAAACTCAGTTCTCATTACACATCCTGAGCAATCACATAAATCAGGACCTTCAATTATCAACCAAAACACGATTCTGTCCAGATGTGGCCCCAAGCAAGTTACTGATAAAGCTGGAATCCTTGAGCATGAGATCCAATAGGACGCTGCCCCTCTCTTCCATATGGGAAGAGGCAATATGATACTTTTATGTAGTGATGCCACATTCCAGGCATTATTCTTAGAGGGATATCAAATACCAGGCACAAGAAAAGGAGAAACGGCCCATGGCAGGAGGTGGCCAGGCCATGCCTGAGTTATCTCTGCAGTGGAAGCAAGAGTACCTGTTGGGAGATACTCAGCCAAAGGCCAAACTGTGCCATTTGGATAAAGTTTATTTCGTCACCTAGCAATCTCCATGTTCTCTCCAACAGAATAAGCAACCAAAACAAGTATATTTTGCACATCTTTGTGGCTGGTTCAGCTCCTGGGTTGTAATGGGCTTTTCCCATTACAGGAATTTTGGCCAGGCCAAACACAAATCCTCAAGGGCTCAACTGTATTTCCCTCCTTTGCCTCATACAGTGTGCTGTAGTAGAAAAGGAAACACAAGAGTTTATGAAAAACAGTTTTAGAAAAAGGAAAATACTCCAACATGTAAGTTTTGCGCTCACAAAATTAATGCATTTGCAAAAGGGTTATTAAAAAATAATTCAAAGTAACTGGGAACAAATTCTGCTTCATCTTCAGACTGAGCTACAGTGAATAGACTCAAAACAGCAAATGGTAAGTAGCGTAATAAAATGAAGAATACATTATTTTATGCATAAAATACCACATTTTCCAATTTATGTAGTGACTTTGATCTTTATGCTTAAACTTCCAAACATTTGCATCTTCATGTTAATCTTTAAAACGTAGCACTGCAGTACTGCCCAGCCATAAAAACACCAGATGGCAACTGACCACAGTGAAATTCAAGAGCGCTGTATCGGCTGCAGATCCACCTCCAACACTGCAACAGCCCAGGCACTTCGGAGGAGTACAAGAAACCCTTTTGTAGGCAATTGATGTTGTAATTCCAGGCAGTTGTCATCCACACATTCCACATATCTTCTTCCAAAGATGTAAAATTTCTCATCTTCTTTAAAATGAGGCAACTAAGCTCAGCAGTAGCTGTGACAATGAATGCCACAAGTCAGTTTTATCCTGCAAAAGTGCCAGCAGGCCAGAAATTATCTGTGTGCTCATTCCAATCCCCAAAGAATTAACCTGATTGCAAAGACCACCAAAGGAGGTAGAACACTTCAGTCCATCCCCTTGAAAGCAAAGGATAACGCTGCTTGCATAATTCTAAAGATGCAGAAAAGCCTCCACTGTTGCTACACTGAATGCTCACAGACAAAAGCCCTTTGTCCCAGCAAGGACATGATCGCTAACATTTACAAGCCCTATTTTAGACAAGCAAGCAAGCAAATCAGAATGTACCACAATATGAGCTAGAAAAGGTTTGCTGTTATTCTTTAGTGTCTGCTACCCCTCTATTTTAAATGTTCCAATCACTGGACATTTTACAAGATTTGCTTCTGATACTGTCTCAGAAGATGTAAACATACCTAACTCACTTGAGGGGAAGGCAGCAACAGAGTTCAGCACTTACTCAGGAAGGAGTAATCTTTCACAATAACACAAATGTGCAAAATTCATTAGAAGGCACAGAATATATAGCTGTGTTCCACTTGATTCCCATTTATTCAGCTGTATGTGTGACCTCTCTGTTAAGTATTGCTTTAATTATTTTTTTTTTGTAGAAGAAAGCCTCTTATCAGGGCATATTTGGCATAGATGACTTGATTTACTGCAATGAATCCTTCCAGGCTGTCCATACATGGGTTAGTTGAGTTTGACTGAGTACTGGAAAAAAAATTTATGTTAGTCCAGTGTGGAAAGCAGTCCACACTGCTGGATGCTGTTTAGATGCAACAGAGACTTTCACTTAGTCCATCCTGTTCTAACCTTTGTGCTACTCATCTGTACTATATCTTCCTCCCAGTTACTAAGATTAAATTTCTTTTTCCTTGGAAAGATGAGATTTTAAGGTGAGTGAGAAGGATCCTTTTTCTAAGAGGATGGAAGGATATAAAATTACACAACAGATTGGTGTACTTCATAGTATACTTCAGGAAAATGTTGACTATAGCTACTTCTTTATGTAATGTGGACATACTGAGCAGATTAGCCATCAGTCACAGTATGAATTCGAAGAAAATAATTCAACGCTACAGAGCTATATCTGGATTCCCATCTTATGTAATTGAGATCAGAAACTGTCCCATTGTCACCAAATTATGAGTCACAATGAAGCAAAAACTGCCCAATCAGCTGAAGGACGTGGCTGTCTTCCTGGAAACACAAGGCTCACTGGCATTTGGGAAGGGTGGCCAAGCCTTGGGTGGCCTGGTGAGGGGTGGGGGGCATTAAAGGCCAAAAGTCTTCTGTGATTCCAGACCACCTCAAAATTCTGCTTCACTTGGGAAACAAAGCACATACCAAGAAACAAAAGAAAAAGAAAACAACATTGCAACTAACAATATGCTTTTTTTTTTCAAAACAACTAATCTGGAGGTCAGCCCAGGGATCTGAATTTCAGTAAAGCTTTAGCAGCAGGAGCACAGTCTGTCATCGTTCATGGCTGAAGAGGTTCTTATCCCTAGTGAAAGAGCTAGAACTAATATGAAGTTGATTCTTCTTTTTCTCAATAATCCAGGTCACTCAGATGAGAGGTTCCTAGCAGCATATTCAGGATTAAGAACAGTGACAGTGGTGGGAACCATTTGTGAAAGTTACTGTGGTTCCCAATGTTCCTGCTTTCATGCATTAACAAGCAGGCTTAGTCCACGAGGGCTGTCATGTTCTTGAACTCTGCAGTAAGAAGAAAACTGGACTTTGCTTTTCTTCAGCGGGTAGCTTTTTAGTGACACATCCTGGTTGTCATCTCTTTCTGTAAAAAAAGAAGGGGAGATTAAAAAGGAAATGGCATTTCTTGTAAAGTGTGCGCATACCTCTTCCCAAGTAACATTTCCGCATCTCTGCAAATTCATGTGGTTTTACATGCCACCATGGTTCTGCTCCTCTCTGTCACTTTCAAGGACAATGAACATAACTGGCATGCAGCATTTCGTCATCCTTGACAGCTTTAATACCCTACTAATTGCCTAGCCATGTCAGGTAAATGGTACTGTATCCCACAAAAAAGAAATTAATCTCCTGAAAAAGCAGGAAACCTTTTAACTTAATGTAAGAAAAAGGATTCCAATTACTGTCATTGAACCTGCAGCCACAGGAAATACGGAGATACATTCTTTGCCTAGTTATTTCTGCCTACACGTGGTCATGTGGACACAAGTCTTCTTTAAGACATTACCAGAGCTGCGGCATTTGTCTCTAGGATGGGGTTCTGGAGCATTCACAGACTCCATTAGAAACTGGGGTTTGGGATCCATATAAGATTTTACTTGATCTGATTTACAGTCACTCTGATACAAACTGTGATAACTGGCTGCCCCATTCTATAAAAGTCTTCATGATAGTCACCAGATTTTCTGGAAAGATGTATCAGATGGTTTGGCTAACAGCCATCCACATACATGGCACTAATGTGTGCTGTTTGCTGTCAAGGTGGAAAGGCTGCCACATCTAAGGGCCACCATAGTTGTGCAGGTTGTCCCTTTAGCTCCTCTTGCATAGTATCTGCAGACTGTACAGTAGTTCCCTTGGAAAACCCATTTAGATTTACCAAGTTATCAGAAGTTTCTAAAAAACTTCTTAGCTTGCTTGAATAATTTGTTATAAATTATGAGATGATTAATACCTAATGTATAGGGCTTCCTGACAGACTTGTAACTGTATCTTACTCTGTGTTTAACAGATAATTTCTCCACCTAGAATCCTATGCAGAACTGTGGGACTTTTTTCCCCTTCCAGAGCTTTAATTAGTTTTCATTTCTTGTAGATTTGTAAACTATCCTGCATCACTTGTTATTTTGGTGTCACGCATGTAATAGAATGGAGTATTGTCATTTGCAGCAGTTATAAAGACAGTGGTAATTAGTACAGTAACTTATACAGTAATGTGTGATCTCCACAGTGATCCATACAGTAATCTGAACTAGTAGTTGTTTCTTCTTTCATTTGTTAAAGGTGACAAAGGTGAATGTTCATGGAAAAATCTGTCTCCTTAAATGTTTTGTGGGGTTTTGGGGGTTGTTTTCTTTTTTAAACAGCTGCAATTAGGCTTATTCCTTCACAGCAACAAACACCAAATGCAGAACTTAATATAATTCATCCCACTGTTGGACAGCTTCCTCCTGCTTTATACATACGCGGATACAAAATGCCTCCCCCTCTTCTTTCTTTGAGAGATCAGAAGAAGCAACTATGCTAGGAAATACTGAAGAGCAGCATATAATTTACTACTACATCAACACCATGATAACTATCTGACCAAAGCAGGCATCTAGAAGCGGGTAAAACCCAGCAGCACTCAGTTTGATCTGAAGCCCTCAGGAAGCTCTTCCTAGGGAAGAGAGGGCAGGGCAGGGTCCACAAGCCCTGATGTGGTTTGACACCACGCAGGAGTTTTACTGAGGGGACATGACGCTGTTTCCAGAGCTGGTTTTCCCAGCCAAGGATGCCAGGTGCTCCCCAGCGGTCTGCACTCCCAGCTGCTTCCACAGGGTGCTGCCAGGCTTGTGGTGCTCTGCAAGGAGTGTGCCTCTCCGCCCATAGCAAAAAGGCACCTTCCTCAGCAACACCTGCTGCAAGTAGAAAGCTCGGAAAAGGAGTACTTGTTTCCAAAGTCTTTGTTTTCATCCCGGATTTTAAATTATTATTTCCCTTATCCGAAGATTAACTAGGTGGTAATGCTTCTTGAGGCAGTGTTGATCTTTGCAGACCCCTAAATTTCACATACTCAAGGGTCTGCATGTCCATACTGTACTAGCAATAACTACAGCTGATAGGTCTGCAAGGTATGTGCCCTGGTGGCCAAGAAGGCCAATGGCACCCTGAGGTGCATCAAGAAGAGTGTGGCCAGCAGGTCGAGGGAGGTCATCCTCCCCCTCTACTCTGCCCTGGTGAGGCCGCATCTGGAGGATTGTGTCCAGTTCTGGGCTCCCCAGTTCAAGAAGGACAGGAAACTGCTGGAGAGGGTCCAGCAAAGGGCTACAAAGATGATTAGGGGCTTGGAACATCCCTCTTATGAGGAAAGGATGAGGGATGTGGGTCTTTTTAGTCTAGAAAAAAGAAGATTGAGGGGGGAACTTATTAATGCTTAAAAGGGAGGGTGCCAGGCAGATGGGAACAGTCTTCTTCCAGAGGTGCCCAGTGATATGACAAGGGGTAAAGGGCACAAACTTGAACACAGGAAGTTCTATCTTAACATGAGGAGGAACTTCTTTACTTTGAGGGTAGTGGAGCACTGGCACAGGCTGCCCAGAGAGGTTGTAGAGTCTCCCACTCTGGAGACATTCCAAACCCGCCTGGATGCCGTCCTGTACAACTGCTGTAGGTGACCCTGCTCTGGCAGGGGGGGTGGACTGGATGATCTCCAGAGGTCCCTTCCAACCCTGACCATTCTGTGATTCTGTAAAACACCACCACTTCATTCTGCAGCTGCTGCTGAACAGCTATTTGCAATCAGACAATAGCATCTTACCCTGTCAGAAAAGCATTAAAGAGGGTAATGTGGACAGTATCGGAGTCATTGTAAACTTGGCCACCCTCCTTCAGGAGCAGTGGGAGACAAACTCCCTCCTGATATAATAAAACATCATGATCAACACATTCAACAAGCAAAATTCATCTCCATTCTTACATTAAAGAAAAAATACCACCAGAGGGAGGAGTTTAGACATGGATAAATGTGTCCAGGCAAAGGAAAGAGTAAGAGCCTAGATAATCTATGCATAAGATGTAAACTCGAGGGCTTTAAACCAGTTTGCCATGTGAGTTTCTGAAATGTTTCAGCTATGCACAGCTGTGAGTGTTCCACTGCTCAAGAGTCATGAAGCATGAACCTACTACGCCATTCCTAAATTTTCTGTTGAGGCAGAATTTATTTTTTACAGTAATACAAATTTTCCCCAAGCCTCTGTCTCCCTTAATTTCTGCATTTTTGTTTGGTTGTACAGTCACATTCACAGTTTCTTACATCCACTGTGTTCCCCCCAAATCCTATTCTCGCCACCTTGTCAGCAGAATGTTGCCTGAAAATGGCTCTGCAGTTTTCTCCCTGCTTCTACTTAACAGTCCTTCTGTTCCATAAAGTTCTTAAGTCAGAAAAATATTAAAACTTACAAAACATCATAATTTCCAATGCACAGAAACTTTTCCGTATTGACCTATATTGTTATTGGTAAAAGACTGACATGGACATACAGACATATGATCACGCTGCGTTCCTGCACATACATGCATGAGCTTTTACTGATTTCAGCCAATGACAATGAATTAGATGTGCTTTTAAAAAAGACTCAAACAAAACATGAATTAGTACATGCTTTGTAAGAGTGACTTACTGCTTGTTGTTTTTTTCTCAGACGAATTTACAATAGGGAAGAAAAACAAACAGGAAATGGTTTCTCAAAGAGATTGATATAATTATGAAGCAGGCAAAGAAAAAGTTAGCTTCACTCAAAATGTTGGTGAGAATGAGAGTAAGGGTCATACCCATAGTGTCCAGCCTCAGCTGGACGGCAGCACGAGGCATGCTGTGTGCTGCAGAGCCTATTGCCGAGGTTTTTACAGAGAAAACCGCTCCTATTTGCCAAATGCTCCCTCGGAGATACTTAACCTTTAAAAACTAATCATTCAGTCTTCACAGAGCCTGCTGGAAAATCCCTCACTGATTCTGATGGGCACCAAGGAACTTAGCACACAGTCCCACTTAACTCAGCAGAGAAGTCCCCCTCAAACCTCAACAGAAATCTGGCTCCTTAGTTATTTTGGTGGTGCACAGCTGTTGGGTGACCACTGCCTTTAACACAAACTCAAATCTGTCTCCAGTGTTTCCTGAGTCTTCCTGGTTTTGTGCTTCTCTGAAACTTTACTGTTGATTTGGGAAAGGTGTAGAGGTATGTTCTTGACTAATAATTATCAATTGAAAGTACATAAGGCTACTTCCCAAACATGGGAAACGACAACTAGCTGTTGACTGACTCCTCTAAGAAGGCAGGAAGACTGGAAAAGCTGACTCTTTGGCTTAAGGTACTGCGATACCCAGTCCCAGCTGGATATTAAATGAAATACACAGACTAGACAAGACAAGTTACAGAATCAGACACAGAGACAGACAGGCACACGCAAACATTTTTAAAGATATTTAAAACTTTCAAAGTCTTTCTGTGCTGACAAAACACCCAAAACATCATTAACAGAAACTCCATACCAGACCCTTTGATACCAGATGTGCTTCCTCTTGAAAACAGATTACAAGAAATTCCAGAGCATTATTCTGTATTGCTGCATTCAGACTTGTTCCTGTTCTCAATTTTGGATTACGCAATTAACTCAAAAAATGAAGACAGAAATAAATGTTGTTTTCAAAGACAAAATGCAAAACAGAAAATAAAATCTGGACCCTATCTGTGTGTTGAATACGCCCACACACCAGCCACTGCGGAGAATTTAACACAGAACCAACTTCTAAGTAATTTAAAGAGAAACATTTGCTATTCTTTGCCAAGTCCTCAAAGTACTTACTCGCTTGCTGGAGTTAACGCTAACAAGCTACTTTGTGAGCAGAAATCTGTCTCTTTCCTTAGTATTTGTGATTTCACGGCAGGATGCATTCCTCAATATTTTTCAGGGAGTACCAAAATGGCTTCCCAGAAGAAGAGGGAAAAGCAACACAGTCTTAAAAAGGGTAATCAGTCTCTCTCTGATGGATATCTGGTGCTCTCCTCTCCCTGCTGCTCCAACATGCATGTCAGATACATTCAG